ACAGCTACTGGTAGTAACACACAAGCCACTGCTTATGAGATGTGGCTGCTGCTCCTACTACATTTGAAAAATCCTACTGCCTCATTAGGCACCTAAGTATCTTTGGGATTCAAGTCCTGAGCCTTTTGTGCCTCAATGGTCCCCAACTGCTAATGAACATCATCAACTATCCTGAAAGAGCAGAGGGAAAACATATATATTTATTAAGGACTGTAAGGCTCAAACAGGGGGGTTAATGGGAACCACTTAGGCAAACAGTGCAGTCAGCTAATAGGTGAGAGAGAATGGTAATTTATGGGCTGCTAAGAGAACAGAAAAGGAGAGGAAGCTGTCAGATAATTCTCTTTTCCTGGCTGCCATACAAAGCCAGCAGGGTTGACAAGGAGCAGTCTCTAAATTTGAAACAAAGCATGTTTCTGCAGCTAGATAATCAAGCACAGCTCTTTATCAGCAAAACAAAAAAAGAGATTTCACAACTTTGTAGCTTTGGGCTGGTTTCCCCTTGGAGTGAAAATAGGCCAGTCTCACTACCCCTGCCACTGCCCGGGTCTTGTCTGTCCCAGTCATCCATCAAACACAGCATAGCTCCAGGACAGGGAACCCAGCAGGGTCAGCACATGTGTATTTTCACTCCTTAAAAAAGGCTTAAGGCAGCATCAGAACAATTAAAATGTCCTTCTTTAATAAAAATCCAACCTTAAGCTTAAAAGGGCATTTATTTCTTCTTCAGCCAAGTTGTTTAAAGACATTTAATTGCAGCATCAAATACTTTGAAAAGGACAAAAACTACGTGATACACAAACCTCAGGAGCTTCTCAGTGGTTTTTGGCTTTGACAGATGTTGAGACTGGAAGCAGGGTTCAGCCATGGGCCCTTTGGACTGTGGGGACAAATCACTGCTGTGGCAGTGGGTTGTTTTAATCAGCATGTATCCATGATGTAATCCAGACCACTGTCATGCCATACCTGAGAAAATTAATAAAGATCCAACCTTAGCTCCAAAAAGTGAAGAAATCATGCATGGTCATGAGCACTTTGCTACACGGGTGCACACAGCCCAGAACCAACACACACAGCCCAACACCATCACAAACAGCATGCCACACAACCCAGCACCAACACTCAGCCTAGCACCAACACACAGCCCAACACCATCACACCCAGTGCAACATCATCACACACAGCCCCAACACACAGCCCAGCACCAACATACACAGCCCAGCACCAGCACTCAGTGCAGCACCAACACAGAGCCCAGCACCAATACACAGCCCAGCAGCAAGGCACAGCCTAGCATCATCACACACAGTATAACATCGTCACACACAGCCCAGCACCAACACTCAGTCCAGCACCACCACCCACAGCTCATCACTGACACACAGAGACTGACACAGCACAAGCCCATGTCAGGTGAATGGCTGTCTCAGGCAGTGCTGGGATGAAAGCCAAGCCCCAGACTTGCCATGTAATGGGAAAGGGATCAAGATGTGTATAAAACAGTGTATTTGTTCCGTGCAATGCTACAAACCCATTGAGTGAGTGGGGAGGGAGCAACCATGGCTGTGATTACTACAGCTCGGTAGTTTCAGCCCAACTGTTTTAATAAGGTGCCTGTGCCTGGTTTCATTCAGGATTGTACACAGGAGGCCTCTTGCCCAGCAGGAATCTTAAGTTTAGGAACTCCTCCATCTGCCAGTTTGACTTCTGTTTTAGCTTGCCCAGGAGAGACCCTTACTGGTATTCAAAACACCTCACTCTTTTCTAGACTTTTTTTTTTTAAATTTGCTCTATCTATCTATCTATCTATCTATCTATCTATCTATCTATCTATCTATCTCTCTCTATACTTGTATCTTTTATATCTTCATGTATCTATATCTATATCTATATCTATATCTATATCTATATCTATATCTATATCTATATCTATATCTATATCTATATCTATATCTATATCTATATCTATATCTAATCAGGGAATAGAAGGAAACAGACATTAATTTGGAGTTTACCACCAAAACCTAAACTCAGCCTGAATAACCGTCTGGGCCAAGTGTCCCTCCAGGAGCATGAACCACCTGCCCATCAGTGCAGACGGCAGCAGAAGACAGGCAAAGCTGGTACAGGGGACACTTATCTCATGCCTCCCCATGTCCCTGCAGTACCAGCAGGGAGCAAGTCCTCTCTTGGGGTTACCCAGCACATCTGTGGTGCCTCTCCCACCATGAGGGTCATGTAGGCAGGAGCACGACACAAGTACCAGCTTCTTGCCATGCTCCCAGAGATGTGTAAATCAGTGGTTGCCCTGCAGCAGGCAGTGGAACAGCTCCTGATTTACAACGTCTTACACAAGAGGAGAGCTTGACCTTACACTTCAACATCAGTGCAACTTCCTTTGTTGAAAGCTTCTTAAGACAGACATGTAATCAATCCTGGAGAGCCACTGAGCAGCAGGGCTCAGGTTCTGCATAGGTCAGGGCTATGCTTCCCAGGGAAATTGTCTGATCCAAGCTCCCATGACATCTATTCCTAGGAGCTCCCTGCCTACTGCCTCATAGGAATTAGTGTGTTTTTCTGTTTTTCTTTTATTATAAATGGGCTGCTTTAGATTACTACAATCCACAAAGAGAATGTTTCCATAGTAAGTCTGGCTTACCTATGCTACTAATCTTTCAGTGAGAGGGGCTTTCATTGAGCTCATCTTTGGAAATTCTGGACTTTATAGGTATTTTATGTTATTTTAGAATCTAAGAGGGAAAGCTTTCTGCCTTGCCTCTGTTTTTTCATGGCCGTAATTATGAGGGCAGTCTGATGTAACTTCTATGGAAAATAAATAATGGCTTTCAACAGTGAGTGCTGTCAGACACTTCATTCCTTGTAACTATTTTAGAAATCCAAATTCAGTTTGCACTGCCAGACCACCACATGCTGCTCTCATTTCTGTTTGTATAAATCCCGTACTACACCACTGCCTTCAGGAGATCTATTGTGTCTTTACACTGCATGATGGCAGAAATTGGCTCATGGTGTAAGTCCATGTACATCTTGTGGGGTGATCTGCTGCTCCAGTAAACACAGCAGGAGAACCACATAGACATCTTTAGTCCTACAACTCACTAGCCCTTACTAGCTGCTACTATTTGCCTTAATGACGCAGACCATGACAGTGAAGGCAGGGTGACACTTTAAGCATATTCATACTTTAAATAGAGAGAAGAAAAGATAAGGCAAAGTACAGACAAAAGTAGTTTTTTTCAGAAAAAGCAGACGATTAATTGTCATTAACTGTTACAGCCTGACACCAATCAGGACTGCAGCGCAGGTACTCCAGCTGCTGGAATGTTCGTCCATGGTCGTCATGGCTTCGCCCTGCACTTCCCTGTGCCTCTGCTCCAGCCCAAGCTGCCAGCAGACCCAGGGAGAGGCAGCAGCCTTCTGCTTGGGCTGCAACCCAAACAGGGCATTGGTCATTGTGGTTATGTGCCAACTCCCCAGAAGACATTTACTAAAGAGTAGTTACAAATACAACCAGCAAGATAATAATAATTATACTTACTCCCATTCTTCTTCCAACAACATCTCTGGGGAAAGGAAGGATCATCATTCCCTCTTGAGGCATTAGGAATGGGATGCAATGGGGTGAAAAGCTCTACCATCTCAAAAGGAAGACAAAAAAAACCAGAGTAAAAACAAGTGCATACATAACAGAGGTACAAGATAAACCGTTTTCCAAAGATTCTCTTTTGAAGACATCTTCCACACAGTGTTTGTAACCCAAATCATGCAGAACTGAAAAGATGAAGTGTGTATTGACACAAACAATATGAAGAGTGAAAAGAAGACATTTTTTCTATTTTTATGATATCCTAAAGAGGAGCCTGTGGCCTGGAGGGCTTGAGTGCCTCTGGATCCCAGACCTGTGTAAGATCTGCCACTCCATGAAGCTCCTGGAATGACACAGTTCACGACAGAAAAGCTGCTGAAAATGTGCCAGTTTTCACAGCCAAACAAACTCACCTTTGTCCTCACCACAGACTCACTCATGGGCATTTCTCCCCATCTCTGCTGTCCAGAGGCAAGTCAGCATTTCTGCCTTACTCAGACACTTGCTGAGTTCTATGTTTTGGGCAATTGTTTGGTTTCCTTTGCTGGAAAAACTGGCTTTTTTCTTCCTTACCCTGGTTTCATACAAGTACATGTCAAACTTGAGATGAAGCTGGTTAGGGATCATTCCTCTCAAAATCTCTGGCTCCATGGGATCTGCCTTTGCCCACAGGAAGCCACAAGGATCTCTGACAAGTCTGGAGTGGTTGTACCTGGGGAGGTGTCCTGCCCATCTGTGCACCAGCAGCAGACCATGTGACTGGCTGCTTTAAACCCTGACCATCTCCTCTCATTTTTGACTTAAGGAGATGTTTTCTACTGCTCAGCTCTCAAGGACAGGCTCCTGGAAGGACTCACTCCAGGACAGGAATGTCCTTGCCACTCTCCTACCTCCAGCAAGGAATCTCCCCAGGAGATTTCTTCAGAATTTCTGTGCCCAAAATGCGCTTGGGACAAAGGGCAGCAACAACACATCTCCACCTGGAAGCTGGGGCAGTGTCTGGCTCAGTTAAATGGAGGCATTTTTAGCTCACCACTGCCCTTGCAGGTGCCACAGAAGGTCACCTTCTCACTGCCTCACACTTGGCATTTACAGACAAGAACTGCCACTTAAATAAACATGGGGCTGTGTAAAAAAAAAAAATCCCAACAGAGATTAATTTCACATTCACCTACAATTTTCACTTGAAAAGGACAGCGGGCCTCAGCAATCCCACCTTAAAATAAAATTAAAGCCTGCTTAAACTCTCTGTCTGACCCACTGCTCCTACCAACAGCAGACATGTGTTTTTACATGTTATTAGATTGACATTGTAGCATCCTGGACAAATCAAATTAATTCAATTACCTGTGGGTGCAAAACACTGTAACTGAAAAATGAGCACATAAAGATAACCAATTTTCCCCTGGCAGTTTATTATGGTATGAAGAAAAAAACATTCTGTGCTTAAAGCGGACGTTATATTACAAATGTATTGCAAAGTATGATGTGACTATTAAAATATGATTACACAAAGTATGAACATTTTAAGAAGTTTACAGTACAGTGAATCTTTTATAAACAGACTCTTAAATATACAGAGGACAATAGTAGCTGGCAGAAAAACATCAAAAAATAACTATTAATGTTTATAGACTTTTCCCCTGAAAAAAGTCTTACATTAAAACAGAAATTATGAAAAGCCTTAAAACCAGGAACAAATCACCTGTACACTACAAATACACATGACAGAGGTGCACAAACCAGAGCTACCTTTTTGCTGAAGGGATTAGTGGCTGGAAGCTGGGAAGTGCATGCCCAGCACCTCCTGTCCAGTGTGGCCACCATGGGCCACACCATGGTGAACCTGTGACCCCAGGCACACACCTGTCAGCAGCTGGATGGTCACAAGCACACACTCCCTGCAGGACAGTTGCTGGCGTGTTGTCAGTGGCACAGCAACCTACTGGAGCGTATCAAGCTGAGAACATGCCCAGGATCTGGCAAATGGATGTCTGCAAGCAGCTCCCTGAATTCACTGGGTGCTTGGATAGGACCTATGTACCAATTTTTGTCTTCAACACTAAGCAATGAGGGAATCAGCAGCTCCTTTTAGGGCCTTTATTTTTTTTTAATACAACTTTTCAATCTTTCCTCTTGATATGGGAGAATAGGTGCCACATTTGACTTCTGCTTAGTCTGGTTGCAATGACACCCCTAGATCATGTGTTAAGTTATGTCAAAAACATAAGTATTTTATGCTGTAATACACAGTATTACTGAAACTATCAATATTATTTACATATTTATAACAAGGTAAAATGAAATCCCTATAATAAAACCAAAAGTTATGCTCTAGATTTATTTACAAGAAGTTCAGCAAAGAAGTATAAATACTTCTACATTTAATGTTTAGGAAAACATAATTTACAAAATATTCAAATATATACAGTCATCTGAAAAACTGCCAATATTAAACTTTGATGCAGACAAAGAATTGGCTGAGTCTATTCCCTCTGTATTGAACAATGCAGTGGCTTTCATGGGTTGTCTGTTCTGTTCAAAGCCATATGTGTATTATTTACAATGAGGCTGCTTCTCTCCAAGCTAAACATGTCCAGAGCTTTGAGCGTGCTGTCCCAAAATGTCATCTATCATTGTCAGATTGTTCAACCACTCTTCATCATTGCTGCTGCTGTTCTTCATGAGGGAGTCGAGGAAATCAGTGTCATTGCAGTTGGCAGGCATGATGGAATTGCTGTGCTGGAACACAAAGTCATACCGGGGCAGCTCAGTGGTGGTGCTCATCCTGCTGAAAGCATCAGGCTGGACAGTGGAAGGGTAACTTGTTGGGCCAAGGCCTTGGGCAGGATTGAGGTGGTTAAAACTGGACACTCCTTGGGACACCGATTTCATAACATTCATAGTTGGCAACGGTCCCCTGGTTAAACTGTTTCTCAAGTTCTGATTATTCACTGAGCTCAAGCCCTGGCCAGACTGTCCCATGCTCAGTTTCTGCATCTGCCTGACCTGGATGCTGGGAGCAATCTGATTCGGTGGCACCGCAGCCTGCTGGGAGAATGCCTGACCTGGTGTGCTTGGCCTCATGCTCTGTTTGGAGAACACCATGCTCCCAGAAAACTGCTGCATGCTGGTATCCATTTGGCTTTGATTTGGCATTCTTGGCACAGTAGTTGGCGTCCACATCTGGGCAGATGAATTGGGGTAGACATTGGGGATTCTTGGCATGCTTGGCTGCCTCAAGTGTTGCTGTGTTGCAGAGTGATTTGCTAAGGAGCCAGAACTGAACCCTCCCATTGGCATTCCTGGCTTCACAGTGGAGTGTACAGTTTGGCACCCTGAGTTCATGCCTAGTGAGTTCTGGCTTGGCCGCAGCTGGATGTTAAAGTCAGAATTAGGTGGAAAAATCCCCTGCTGCTTGCCAGGATTGTGTGGAATCATCAACATTGTCCCGCTGCTCTGACTGGCAGTGGCTGAGGCCATGCCAGAGCCCAAAGTACTCTGGAGCATTGCTGGGTTTGACGGCAGCATGCGGTGGTTGGGCAGAGGAGCTGGGATCACCTGGTTACAGTCAGCAGGAATGGGCTGCTGCATGGCTGTGGATAAAGAGACAGATTAGCTGATGAGTACAGATTCACCCTGGAAATGTGGCAAAACCTTAAAAACCTGCTGCTCTGTCTTTCTTTCATGTTACGGGGGTTTCTCCTTTGTGCTCTTTGTAACAGAGTTATACTGGAGCCATAAGGAAACGTGAATTTCATGATATGTGATAAAATGGAAAATGCTTTTAATTCAGGGCAGAGAATCATTGTCTCTATTTAACCAGACACCAGGCCCTGGCATCTCAAGGACTTTCAGACCATTTTCAGGCCATTTCCTTCCTTACCTTGAAATTGGTTTATCTGCTGAGCCACAAACAAGCTTCTCTGTTCAGATGTTACTCCCAGCATGTTTTGTCTCTGCTTTTCCTGGAAAACAAGGGGAGTAATAGTGAAGTTTCTTGACAAGCAAAAGAGCAGCATAGCCACTATCATTAACAACCTCCCCATACACCCTTTACCTGCCTACTTTGATGAGACTCAGCCCAGACAGTTCATTTCAGACTGAATCTTAATTTCTCACATTCCCCTTCTTGCAAAGGTGTCCTGATGCCAGCCCAGCACTGGGAACTGCAACCTTCAGCAGATGCTGTGCAGGCAGCCAAAGGGGAGCTGGACAAACATGGAGACTCCTATGTTCACCAGCTTATGAGTGAAGTGTGCTGTTGCTGGAGGCTCTGCCCATGCAGACCATCCCCTTGTGTGCTGGTTGCCACTTCTAACCAGAACACAGGAGCCAAGGATCCACAGCAGGTGCTCCCTGAGCAAGGTATTGCTGGGCTACTCCAGGTGACCTGAATCAAGTCTCCCACCATTTAGCCCTAGAACCCACCACCTAGAACTCACTCACATCCCTGCTGTGGGCAGCAGCTGTGACCTGGTGATGGTGGAGCTCCCCATGTTAGAGCGGCCCAGAAAAAGTTGAAGCCAAGTGATGTCAGGGAAGTGGAGTTGGGTTTGAAAGGGAGTTTGATCAAGGAGCAGCTCAGGACTTCATTGAGGGTTTTACTGAGCTACTTCTCATCTTATTTCCCATCCACAGAAATAAGCCTCCTTGACCTAAATCCAGCAGCACATTCAGAAGGTCAGAGGCACATGGTCAGAGCTGCTTTACCCAATTGATTTGTGGGATTTCCCCATCCCAGCTTCCTCATAGAACCTCTTGCAAACCTCCTACAGCGGCTTCTGTTGCTAGAGAGACCAGTCAAGTCTTAGACAAACTGAAGCCTAACATCTGCTCTGTTAAATTCCTGGGAAACCAGAGAGAAAGACAAGCATGGAGACCATCTCTCTGGGGCTGGTTCCCTTTCCAAGTCTCCCTTCTCTGCATCTTCCCTCCCAACTCTGTGGTTGACCAAAAATTATGTCAGGGATATGGAGGTGACTAAATCCTTCCCTTGCATATGAGGGGCAGATTTGCACTCAACTCTGGCAGAGGGCACTTGGCCTTGGCCTCTCTTGGTCTCATCCTAGACCCACCACAGCCTTAGTTTGACTCAGCCTAGCAACTCCAGCATCACTCTTAGTGTTTGCTGACCGATGATTTCCTCATTCCAGTTAGTCCTGTCCTTCCCAGTGAGGTGCACAGCAACCCACAGAGGCATTCAGCATCATACCTGCATCAGCTGCCGTTTCATTATTTGCTGCTTCAGTAAATGGTTTCTCATCGTGTACCCGTTGACCGTGGCTGGTGCCGGCACAGAGCCACTGCTTGGGATGGAGCCTGGCTCCTGCAATCTGGCAGCAATTCCAGGATTTTGATCCTGCCAAAAAAGATAAAAAAAAGAAAATTCATCTCATCAGGGAGGTAATAACAGAAGCCCTTATCCTCTCTGCTGATGCCCTCTCTTCAGTCTTCAGCTGTCCCAAGGCCAAAACACCTCATGGACTCACATGGCCCTGCATGTTGCAGTGAGGCCAGTGAGAGGTGGGGGAGTGCTCTGATTTCTAAGGATAAGCACAATAAGAAGTGTGAGAAGATAAAGGGTAATCCAAAATTCCCTGTGAGTTGCCCAAGGCCATGGGGACCCATTTACTACCACTGCTGCAGTCACAGGGCTGCCTGGCTGGCTGAAGGGGTGTGAGTAAAGCATCACATTTTCTCACAACTTCTCCAACTGTTACAGTGAAAGACAGACAGAAAGGAAAGTTGTATCAGGGTAGGATTTGGTATGTGAATGTAAAGGAAAAACCTACAGGAAAAGAGCAAACTAAGGAAGGAATAGGAACACAAAAAGTCCCATCAGACCTGGGACCCAGAGAGACAAGGAATACATGGACCTGCGATTGAAGTGGTTCTTGTGGGTTTCAAGATCAGATGAACAAGAAGAGGTCACTGTGAAAGGAGAGAAGAACATACAGAAATGCAGGGCCAGGTCATGCCTGTGCACAAATCAGTAATAAATGCAGTGAGCCCTGCTCCTGCCTGGCAAAAACCAGCCTCTTTCTAAGTCCTCAGTGAAAGATCCAAATTGACTTTGACAGCTGAGCTCTTGTTTCCAAAGACAGTATGGTGGAGAGGAGAGAAAAAAATTGACCATAATATGGTGAAGACACAACCCAAAATGGAAAAATAATTTAAAAAATACTGAGTTCTAAACATCTTAGGAGCTGTCAGGTATTCAGGGAAATACAAGAGAAAAATGAGGGAAGAAGGCCTTGCTAAGGACAAGGTCCTGTGAGTGCTGTACCTAGGAACAGCAACACCAGTGTATTCCCCATTCTGTCTTCACATCCAGCTTCTACATTATTTATGATGTTAAGTTATTATTGGCAGGGAGAAGTATGTATATTATATCCAGCATCCTTAGCTGGGCCATGCTTCCTTTGTTTTCAGAATGGAAGCCTACATCCTTTGTTTGAGAATCAATGTTATCAGGAGATAAACAAGAAGAAAATGGTTGTTGCCTTCTGACATCTGACAATTAGAAGAATGCTCAGACGGAGAAAACAGGATACGAGTCATATTTCAGAGTGGCCAGAAGGAAGCCTTGGAAGGCATTTGTCACCAGGAAAGTTCCTTGAGCCTGGGGCACCTTTCCAGAGGCTTCACCATGAGGAAACATCCAATTCCTTCCAAGTCATTCTTTCTAAGAGGGATTACCAAGAACATCACTGAAATTACTCATTTTTATGGGGCCTCCTTTTGTTGTAGCATTTTGGTCTATTATGCAAAAGTACAATTGATGAAATGTAAATGCCTGCTAGATAATTTACTAAAAAACACAAACCTGCACCTCATCACTGCTCTCATTATCATTGCTATTCATGGGCAGTCTCATAAGACTAGATTCTATTACTGGTGCTTTGCTTACAATCCTGCTGGACACATCTCTCCTCATTCCCCTTCCCTCCTACCGATTTTACTCCCTCTCTCCCACAGAAAAAGAGGAGGGGAGGAAAAAGTAAATATGATTTACTACAGATGTAAATATGAAAGTTCATTTTAAGCTGGAAGTCTGCTTTCATGTCAGACAGGATTCTGCAGCCACAGTTAAGCTTTGAATAAAGCAAATTGCCTTTGGGGGAATATTTGAAAGTGGAGAGATTCAGTTTGTGTACCCTGCACTTGAAAGAGGCTGAAATGTCCATACCACCTAAATCCCTGCCATGTATCCAATTTCCTCCAAACTCATCTTGTGGTGCACAGAGGGTCTGTGCTTACTGAAGCAAAGGAGTTTTAGTGTAAAGACAATCATTCTGATGTCTTGCTCTGGGCTATTGCAATAACAAGTCATAACATTAAAGTATCTTCTCCTAATCATGTCCATCTCATTCTAATTTCTCCTAAGCAGCATCAAGAAAATAATATTGATTTTTCCATATTATTAATGGCAAAGAAGTGTAAATCACATTATTAATTGTTGCTGTTGTGCTGTAAAGGTACAACTGCTTAATTATACACAATTTTCTGCAGGCACCCTATAACAATAATGACAATCAGCAAAGTTTATTTGCAAATACACTGAATGGGTTGCTGAGTTTTTCAGAGCAAAGTTGTGTAACACTAAATTAGCCAGTAAAGAAACAGTCTAGAGGTATGCAGTTTGCTTTTGGGGAATTTAGGACAAAATAGCATAGATGAGAAGCCAAAGAGTGAATTCAAAATCCTGACTTCTACAAGTTTACATTTAGATTAAGACAAGAAAGAAAAACAGAAAGGAAAAGGAAAAAGTTCTCTCTTTTCACCACTAGTGGGAACTACTGTATTCCTGTACAATAAAAAATAACCACTTGCACATCATGACTAAGAATAGCTACGGTGTAGTCTAAAGGACACTGCAATCTGTACTAAAGGTTAATGAACTTTAAATATTTTTCCTTTTCATCACTTCCCAAGAAAAATCACTTTTCTTCCCCTAGTAAAATCAAGCCAAAGCAGCCATAATCTTAACTCATCTGTAGTTTGGATTTATCCCATTGTAAATCCAGGAAGACAGCAAAGAGAGCAGGATTCTGGTGCCACAGCTGAGAATGTTCAAAGTGCGTGTTTCCACCCAAGGGTCTGTATGGCTGAGACGTACAGTTACACTGGAGGGTGAAGAGAGCTACGGGAGGTTCTGACTACTTGACTTTCAAAAAAACCCCACCAAAAAAACCCCAAACCCCACAAAAACATTAAAAGCATTTGCATTTAGGTTTCAGGGGTTTTTTTCTCCATTTTCCCCTCCCAAAACTCATATTAAAATGGGAAGTATCCCTAATTAAATGGCACATCACACAAAGACCTGGAAATGGACAGTGCATTTGAGAACATGTGTTCCTGTTGCCAGGTACTGTCACTGCAGGTCCAGAGCTCCTGTAGCACTCCCTGGGCTTCCCAATGGGGCAATTTCTGCTCAGAAAGGCCTTGGGGGAAACTACACAATTCTGACTTAGTATCTCATTCACTAGTTACAAGAGCAGGGAGAAAAGAGTCCAGGCTTACAGTAATGTGTAATGTTTCTGTCAGTGTTCAGCCACTGACTACAACTGTAAAGGCTGCTGCACAGCCCAGTGAAACCAGTGCCCCACAGCCACCCGACTGGTACACAATAGGCAAATCTGCAGGTCTCTGCACCCAGCTGTAATGAGTGTGGTTCTGGTCTAACAACCATTCAGGCAACTGCTGAATGGAAAGCGTGCAAACAGTGCCACTGAGCCCTACTATGTACATTTATGAACTGACATCCTTCCAAAAATCCACTGACGAGCTTGAACTCCTTCATCTGACTGCATAGAAAATGCACAGCTGCAGCAAATAAGCACAGAGATTAATTGCTCTGTGTGAACATGGTTGATAAACTTCAGTCCTCAATACTTAATATCCAGTAATCATTTTGTGGCTTCACTTAAGTAAGAACGAGTAAATTTATGGCCCCTAATTCCTCTGAATCCTCATTAAAAAACAGTCCAAAAAGAATTTAAAAGCAAGAGTTTCTGAGGATCTGAACCACAGTTGTAATCACTCTTTAGTAAGTATGTAAAAAATCCTCTAATCTTTAATAAAGAGCATTCATTGTTTTTTAGGACTATATGAAAACACTAAACTCATTTATCATTATTAAACTTTCCCATCTGCTCTTATGGTGTAACTCCAAAGAATATAATAAAGAAATTGTACATGTTAAGCTGTATTGACTTAAGCCCAGAGCTATTGGAGATGTACAATTTATTTCAGTGACGGCGGGAAGGGGACTGCAGGCTGTTAGACAGTCTCATTTGTCCAGTGCTGAAAAGACAGTTATCTGCAACAAAATGGCTCTTAGAAAGGCACATTTGCTTTATAAGAAATAAGCTGCCAGGTGAGACCATTCAGCATGTTAAAGGCTCAGACAATAAAACTAAGTAATGAATTTGAATAGTTAACAGATGGACTAATTAGAGACTGAATTCTTTGTGGTTCTAATAGATGACCAGGTCACAGCAAGGTTACTTAGAGAGAGGCAAGCAGCACTGCAAATTTCAGTAGATATTTGCAAAGTCAGGGAAGAGCTGCACTTCCTAACTGAAAAACATTAGCAGTAGTGGAGGAACAGAAAAGGGGCAAATTAAAAATACTTCTAGTACCTGAACTGAAAAAGTTTATTCCATTTTAAAAGACCCTGGTGATATGAGAAATATTCCCTCTACTTCCAATGGAGCATCCAGCTTAATCCAGTGATTTCAGGGCTTAAACCAGAAGGGCTATTGAGATGAGCCACAGCATAAAAACAAAAGACCAGAGGAAATGAGGCATCCAGGGTGGATGTTTGCTCCAAGTACATGAACGAGACAAACTGCTCTTTTCACCAGGTTTGGGGTTTTTTTGGCAACCAAAGATAACTTAGTTTGAAGTATTTATCATGATATCACATAGTAAATAAGAAACACAAGAAACAACCAGAAAACCATGGCTATAGGACTTGAGCAGAGCCACTCCTGACCTGCCCTATGGCCCTGGCTCTTGGTCTGGGGACTTGTGGGCAATCTGTTATCATGGCAGGGACAGCTGTTCCCTAGGGGTGGGATAAAGTTTCACAAACCAAGTTTTGTTCTGTATTTTAAGAACATCTGTCACATACAGGGAGTTCTGTATTCTGCTGAGAAAATGAAAACACTAGTTTCAAATTAATGCCCCTGCATTTCCCTGCACTCCCGCTTGCCCTCTGATGCATCTTCTTCCATCCAGGAACTGTGCTGCATCTCTTTGGTGAGGACTTCAAGCTTGGGCAGCACTTCACTGTGAAGCCCAGGACTGAGACCCCTGGGCACAACCATACTACAAATACTAAAGACTAAGCCA